ATAATGAAGTCTTATACTGCTTGTCATTAGTTTACATAATGATGACGATGTTAGGAAGATTTAACGGAATAAAAGGCACTGATAAGTATCAAGTCATCTGTTACACAAATGACCAACTTGACAGTGTTATTATGGTGGAGTTGAAGGTCTTAATGTATAGTGCTGTAGTACTGAAGCGCTTGCCCTGTTCACCCTAATGATGTTCAGTTGAAGTCGGAAAGTTTACATACACTTAGGTTGGAGTCATTAAAACTCGTTTTCAACCACTCTACAAATTTCTTGTTAACAAACTATAGTTTGGCAAGTCGGTTAGGACATCTACTTTGTGCATGACACAAGTAATTTTTCCAACAAATGTTTACAGACAGAATTTTTCACTTATAATTCACTGTATCACAATTCCAGTGGGTCAGAAGTTTACATACACTAAGTTGACTGTGCCTTTAAACAGCTTGGAAAATTCCAGAAAATTATGTCATGGCTTTAGAAGCTTCTGATAGGCTAATTGACATCATTTGAGTCGATTGGAGGTGTACTTGTGGATGTATTTCAAGGCCTACCTTCAAACTCAGTGCCTCTTTGCTTGACATCATGGGAAAATCAAAAGAAATAAGCCAACACCTCAGAAAGAAAATTGTAGACCTCCACAAGTCTGGTTCATCCTTGGGAGCAATTTCCAAACGCTTGAAGGTACCGCGTTCATAAGTACAAACAATAGTATGCAAGTATAAACACCATGGGACCACGCAGCCGTCATACCGCTCAGGAAGGAGACGCGTTCTGTCTCCTAGAGATGAACGTACTTTGGTGCGAAAAGTGCAAATCAATCCCAGAACAACAGCAAATACAAAAGTATCTATATCCACAGTTAAACGAGTCCTATATCGACATAACCTGAAAGGCCGCTCAGCAAGGAAGAAGCCACTGCTCCAAAACCGCCATAAAAAAGCCAGACTACGGTTTGCAACAGCACATAGGGACAAAGATCGTACTTTTTTGAGAAATGTCCTCTGGTGTGATGAAACACAAATAGAACTGTTTGGCCATAATGACCATCGTTATGTTTGGAGGAAAAAGGGGGTTGCTTGCAAGCCGTAGAACACCATCCCAACCGTGAAGCACGGGGGTGGCAGCATCATGCTGTGGGAGTGCTTTGCTGCAGGAGGGACTGGCGCCCTTCACAAAATAGATGGCATCATGAGGAAGGAAAATGATGTGGATATATTGAAGCAACATCTCAAGACATCAGTCAGGAAGTTAACGCTTGGTCGCAAATAGTTATTCCAAATGGACAATGACCCCAGGCATACTTCCAAAGTTGTGGCAAAATGGCTTAAGGACAACAAAGTCAAGGTATTGAAGTGGCCATCACAAAGCCCTGACCTCAATCCTATAGAAAATTTGTGGGCAGAACTGAAAAAGCGTGTGCGAGCAAGGAGGCCTACAAACCTGACTCAGTTACACCAGCTCTGTCAGGAGGAATGGGCCAAAATCCCCCAACTTATGGTGGGAAGCTTGTGGAAGGCTACCCAAAATGTTTGACCCAAGTTAAACAATTTAAAGGCAATGCTACCAAATACTAAACTTCTGACCCACTGGGAATGTGATGAAATAAATAAAAGCTGAAATAAATAATTCTCTCTACTATTATTCTGACATTTCACATTCTTAAAATAAAGTGGTGATCCTAACTGACCTAAGACAGTGAATTTTTACTATAATTAAATGTCAGGAATTGTGAAAAACTGAGTTTAAATGTATTTGGCTAAGGTGTGTGTAAACCTCCGACTTCAACTGTATATATGTGTCTATGTTTCACCCTAACCCCTGGCCTTGGATTACCACTGGATTAGCCATACACCATTCTGTACATAAACCCCCATCGCTCACAGTCCAATCAGGTCTCTGTGTATTTGCATATTTCTCAGGGTTACTCTGCCGACAGATGATAGATGACCGTCTGAGGAGCTACTGGGCCAGCCTGATGTATTGCGATGTGATTGGTCCATACAAGGTCCTGCGATGTCATAAATGCCGGCCCCAGGTTTAATCACAGGCGGCCAATCAGATCAGAGACGTATGAGTCGCTTTGTTTATGAGAGGGACTGTCGCATTAATCAGGTAATCTGGAAACACACACACACACACACACACACTGGTTGCACATTCAAGGTGCAAAAAGGCAAATCAGCAACATTAGATGACCTTGAACAATAATCAAATATTGATTGAGGTTCTAAAAATAACACTCACTTTGACTGAAAATAGAATGTACACCTCTGTCAGAACCCCCATCCCTCTTTCTTTCTCTTTGAACGTCGCCCCTCTCAAAGATAACAATGCAGCGCTTTATCAAAGCACAAGAACACAGCAGTCTGATTCTAAATACAGCACACACACAGTACACACACATACAACACACACACACAGTACACACACAAACAAACACTTCCAGCAGCAGCCATATGAATGGCCAGGCCACGGCACAATGGTGGTAAATTAAATCACTGATGTCACAGTTGCCAAGGGCCCTACCATCCCACGCTGTGGCCTTTTGTGTGTGTGTGGGTGGTATCTCGTTTTACACAAACACACTCACACATACAAAGGGAACGAGATTACCTAATAAGGGCCTTTTTCTTTGTTCTATAAATGTAATCTGAAACGTAAGGATATTATTAGACTGGATTGGGGGGCTGGGGGTGTGTGGTCAATATGAGTTCCTTATGAAAATATTAATTACAACAAAAGGACTACCTTGATACAGTTAATTCATATATAATCAGCATAAACCTTCTCTGGGTTTTTATTCAATACTGTCTTCTATCAATGTAATAATAATGTAATAACTGTAATAATGGGTGGCATTTATAGAACAGTGTAACAGTGCTTTATATTGTAAGGGGGAACTCCCCAGCATAGAGCACATCAGACATGGGGTATCAGGTGTGGGTCTGGGAGTGTAAACAGCCATTACTTCCACCACTGTGCTTCTGTCTGTCTACTGCCCACTGTTCAGTGTCTACTTTAGTGTGTGTGTGTGTGTGTGTGTGTGTGTGTGTGTGTGTGTGTGTGTGTGTGTGTGTGTGTGTGTGTGTGTGTGTGTGTGTGTGTGTGTGTGTGTGTGTGTGTGTGTGTGTGTGTGTGTGTGTGTGTGTGTGTGTGTGTGTGTGTGTGTGTGTGTGTGTGTGTTTGTGTGTGTGCGTGCCAACAGACAGTCCACAGGTGCCCACACTATACACTGAGTGTACAAAACATTAGGAACACCTGCTCTTTCCATGACATAGAATGAATCCAGGTGAAAGCTATGATCCCTTATTGATGTCACTTGTTAAATCCACTTCAATCAGTGTAGATGAAGGGGAGGAGACAGGTTAAATAAGGATTTTTAAGCCTTGAGACAATTGAGACATGGATTGTGTATGTGTGCCATTCAGAGAGTGAATGGACAATAAAAAATATTTAAGTGCCTTTGAACGGGGTATGGTAGTAGGTGCCAGGCACACCGGTGTGAGTGTATCAAGAACTGCAACACTGCTGGGTTTTTCAAGCTCAACAGTTTCCCTTGTGTATCAAGAATGGTCCACTACCTAAAGGATATCCAGCCAACTTGACATAACTCTGGGAAGCATTGGAGTCAACATGGGCCAGCATCCCTGTTAAATGCTTTCGACACCTTGTAGAGTCCACTCGGGCTCCCGAGTGGTGCAGTGGTCTAAGGCACTGCATCGCAATGCTTGAGGCGTCACTACAGACCCCCTGGTTCGATTCCAGGCTGTATCACAACCGGCCGTGATTTGGAGTACCATAGGGCAGCACACAATTGACCCAGCGTCGTCCGGGTTTGGCCGGTGTAGGCCGTCTTTGTAAATAAGAATTTGTTCTTAACTGACTTGCCTAGTTAAATAAAGGTAAAATAAAAAATGCCCTGACGAACTGAGTCTGTTCTGAGGGCAAAAGGGGGTGCAACTCAGTAATAGGAAGGTGTTCCTAATGTTTTGTACACTTAGTGTACGTCAGTCAGGCATGAGAGCTACCCACTAAAAGCTTTTGAGTATCTTAGCATCCTTTAGTGACTGATGTATTCTTATGACAAAACATAGTGGGAAAAATAACAATCAGTATGATTACATGCACTGGACGCAGTCAAGCACGGTTCAAATCAAATCCTCACAGTGATCACCATGGATAATGGATGAGTTAGTTTTAGTGGGGTGTTTTAATATTGATGTGGGGCGTACAGTGTAAAGCCTTGTCAAGGGGAACAAGGTTGCCTGGCCGCCTGGCTGGCTGTCTCACCCTGTCTCACCCTGATATCATCCTGATGTCTCACCCTGATGTCACCCTGATTTCACCCTGATGTCTTACCCTGATGTCTCACCCTGCCCTCATACTGCTGCATCCCAATATCACCAGGTGCAATGGAGCGAATCCTGCTCTTCACCCTGCCTGCACTGTGTGTGTGTGTGTGTGTGTGTGTGTGTGTGGTGTGTGTGTGTGTGTGTGTGTGTGTGAGAGAGAGAGCGAGAGTGAAAGAGAGAGAGGTGAAAGAGAAAGAGGTAGAAAAAGAAGCGCAGAGAGGGAGATTCTGCTCTGTTTTGGAGGAGAGGTAGGTAAAGGGAGCAGCGGTGGTCGCGCTTCAATCAAACATCCGGGTGCTTAAATGCGCAGAAGCACCGCTGCAGCTGCGTTTCCTCGTTGACTGAGCAGAGAGCGAGCAAGCAGCGGAGACGCAGTTGGACACCGAGTCAGAGAGAAATACACAGACGCACCACAGCCACACAACAAATAAATAGAGAATCGAATCGAACATTGCGCGTCAAGGAGCCCGACCCGAGCGGTGCACGGCCGAAACCCTTTTCACTATGTAAAACCACCAGCTAAAATGTGAGATTTACGGAGGACATCAGAAGAGAGCGAGAGAGTGGCTTTACACCCTTATCTTTAGCGGGTCATCTACATTTTGTGTTCCGTCGTCATCGCAGTGTTTCTGGGGTAAAATGAAGAAGTTTAACATCAGGAAGGTGCTGGACGGCCTAAAGGAGCAGGCGTCTTCCTCGGCTTCGTCTGGCCAGTCGGGTGCCCTGGAGAACAATTTGATGCACGAGACCCTTCAGTCCGAGAATTTTCAGCTCTGCAAGGTGGGCGAGTCAGATGCAGTTAATAATGTTTTATAATGTAGCTGTATCCAACATAACAGTCTGTGAATGAATGATGTTGTTTGCGTGTGTATGTTTCTATTTTGTCACTGCATATTGGCAACCCCTACTCTCAAAATTGATACAGGTGCAAGTTAACGCGCCGCCAACTATATATTATTTATAGCCTACAATGTTACGGTTATCATCTGATGGACGGTTCGGCTACTATATCATACCTACTGCGTTTGCCTGGTATTTTCGTTATCTGTTATGAAAAGGTATTATAACAATGAGAATATGCTGGTTTATACATTCTGTCTATTCCCAAGGTTTGGCAACCCAGCCTGTAAAATGCGCATATGGCGAATGCACTTTAGAGAAATACCAGTACCAATATAGAATAGTATTTTCATCATGATTTAGCGTTTGTTTACATGCATCCCATCATTAGCCTATACTGTTATAAAAATCTAATACATGCATACATATAGGCCTATCCTCACTACCGTTAAAATACACTGGTTTGCTTTATCGCTCATGTCATGTGCACTTCGCATGAACTGTCATACGGAGGGGTTGGCCTAAAATAACCCGTTTCTTGCATAATCTGTGCTCGGCTTGGATTAACATGTCAATCGCTGGATCCCTGGCGGGTTGATACAGTGGCGATCAGTCTCCCACCAACACACACCTTCCAGTTCACTCACCCGAACCCCTCATCTATCCATAGCGGGAGGCTGCCTCTGAAATTAGTAGGCCCGTTTTATCATACACTGGCTCCCCTTCCTCCTTGAATTAGACATGACAGAAGAAAAAATGGGGTTAATAAACACTCACATTCGATGCACATGCACGCACTGCCGGTAAAACAGCTGGAGCGAATTTAGCCCATCATTGGGACACCACAGCAAATTGATGTTAGGCTATAGTTGAAAGGATGCTTTGCTTTCTAGTCAAATGGACTTGAATTGTCGCCTATACAATTTATTTATCGCCTTCTTATTATGGCGCTCTATACGCGTGTGCGGGCAAGTTATTTTCTCTCTAATTCAATGGACATGTTTGGGCCAGGCTATGCCCTAACACTATATTGAAATCAACACCCATATTTCACATATTATTATATTATTATAAGAGCTATTTTATTATAGTCCTTATCTTGGTAGCCTACCAGCGATTTAAAAACACAGGCCTCGGTATTGGTGACGTGTTTCTCTGCGTCGCAAGAGCGCACGAGGGTTTAAACATTTGCGCATGGCTAGACGCGTGTAATATCTCGAATGGTTTACTAGAACGTACAGCCTAGGCTACAATATGTTATGTCTCCAATGATTTGCGTTTTTGACCGAGCCGGGTCCTGAAGTGTCATAATTGGGTTGGCGCTCCAGGAGCGTGACCCGGCTTGTTGCGATGTAATCAACCCGCAATGCCCGGCCCGTGTTGCGTCTCCTGCCTGCGCGAGTGCAGGTGTCTGCTACAGTGGAGCAGCTCTTACATAATATGCTTTAGCCCTCTGCTCGACATTTAAACGCCCACACCAGTATAAATCCACTTTTTTTTTTAGAGCTGAAACACAACTGTCACACCATACACATGATTATGCACAACTATTTAAATCAATAAGTAATCGTTTTAGTTAAAGTATGATATATTTGGGCTTGAAGTGACAAATCCGAACTGCCCACTTAGTGCAAATCCATATCAATGCTGTGTCTTTTTCTATGAGATTATGTGGAAAATCTTTTTAGCCTACATTTCATTTCAGGGCTGGGGTTTATTTGAATGTTACCACCCACCAGCATGGCATTGTTTTGAAATCAGAAACACCTGCAAAGATGTTCCTCTTGGGGAGTCCCGACTACACTTGGCCGCCTAAACCATGGAGCAAATTAAAATAGTAAATGTTTGCTTTTGCACCTCCAGAAATTTAACATAATGTCAATTTTCACTTATTTTTTTATCTAGTCTGTATTAAACAAAAAAAAATATATGAACATTTTGCAATTCTGCTCCCCCTGTAGCCCCAAGATAAATGGTTTTGACCACTAAAGTCTTGCTTCACTATATGCTTCACTGCTTTGATTGCTGCAGCTAAACTACAAGTGTCTATCCTATAATGAAAAATAAAAATAAAAACGCTGCAAACTGCTGTTCATGCTCCCAGCACTGCATGAAAAGACACGCTTATGGGTTAAAATTCCAGATCACTTTCCCACAAACAAACAGTTTTCGGGAGTTATCACGGCTTCTGCACACCCTGCGTGAAGGTTGGGAAACGAACAGGTTGGTGTTCAGACGACGTGAACGGGTCTGTATCCTCACGTGATCTGGTTGAGTATTCGATGAAAACTTACCGGGAATGAACAGCGTCTCTCAGGTTTCCTACGCTTAGGAACACACCGACTGTCATTGCGTTTTGGTACACCAGAAGTACATTCATTTCCAATGGAACGCTACGTTTGCCTTGAAGCATTGCCTTGCAGAGGCAATTGCAGTGCGTTCTGTGTGGTGCATATGTTGGATTTATCGAACGTATGCGTCAAACTGTATGCGTAAACGGGTTGACAGAAATGGTAGCAGAAGGTGAATGTTGAACTTTTGTTGCACACATATCTAGATGATGCTGCATACTATTTTGCGCAATGATGAAGTCGGTGTGTTAATATGCACCACACAGAACGCACTGCAACTGCCTCTGCAAAGCAATGCTGTAAGGCAAATGCAGTGTTCCATTGGAAATGAATGTACTTCTGGTGTACCAAAACGCAATGATGCAGTTGGTGTTTTCAAAGCGTAACGCTTTGAACAAACCGAGTGTGTCGTCGTGCAAAATAGTATGCAGCATCATCTAGATATGTGTGCAACAAAAGTTCAACATTCACCTTCTGCTACCATTTCTGTCAACCCGTTTACGCATACAGTTTGACGCATAAGTTCGATAAATCCAACGTATGCACCACACAGAATGCACTGAAACTGCCTCTGCAAGGCAATGCTGCAAGGCAAATGCAGCGTTCCATTGGAAATGAATGTACTTCTGGTGTACCAAAACGCAATGATGCATTCGGTGTGTTCAAAGCTTATGGTGTTCTGCAGGGAACGCACACTGTTGTGTGTGTGCATGTCTGGAAAAACTCCCGATCACTCTTCCCACCAGATTGAAACTCTTGCAAACCTATAACATTCACTCTCCCACCTCATACAAATCCCCCAACATCTTGCAGTAAGGCATCAGGGCATGTGTACTAGGTGGTGAAAATCCTGCTGGAAAATGCTAGCCAATATTATTGCTAATTTGCTACCCTAGCTGCAGTAGTCAACACTAAATCAGCCCTAGATACAGTGCCTTCAGAAAGTATTCATACCCCTCGACTTATTGCACATTTTGTTGTATTTCTGCTTGAATTCAAAATGGATTAAATTGTTTTTTTTATACACAATCTTTTTTTTACACAGTACCCCATAATGACAAAGTGAAAACATGTTTTTAGATATTTTTGCTAATTTATTGGAAATGAAATACTTAAATATCTCATTTACATAAGTATTAAAACCCCTGAGTCAATACATGTTAGAATCACGGTAGGCAGCGATTACAGCTGTGAGTCTTTCTGGGTAAATATCTAAGAGCTTTGCACACCTGGATTGTACTATATTTGGCCATTATTCTTTTCAAAATTCTTCAACCTCTGTCAAATTGGTTGTTGATCATTGCTAGACAACCATTTTCAGGTCTTGCCATAGATTTTCAAGCAGATTTAAGTAAAAACTTAAACTTGGCCACTCAGGAACATACACTGTCTTCTTGGTAAGCAACTCCAGTGTAGATTTGGACTTGTGTTTTAGGTTATTGTCCTGCTGAAAGTTGAATGAATTTCCCAGTGTCTGGTGGAAGCAGACTGAACCAGCTTTTCCTCTAGGATTTTGCCTGTGCTTAGCTCCGTTGCATTTCTTTTTTATCCTGAAAAACTCTCCAGTCCTTAATGATTACAAGCATACCCATAACATGATGCAGCCACCACTATTACATTTTAGTCATTTAGCAGACGCTCGTATCCAGAGCGACTTACAGATAGTGAGTGCATACATTTTTCACACTGACCCCCCGTGGGAATCGAACCCACAACCCTGGCGCTGCAAGCACCATGCTCTACCAACTGAGCTACAGGAGGCTACACTATGCTTGAAAATATGGAGAGTGGTACTCAGTAATGTATTGGATTGGATTTGCCCCAAACATAACACTTTGTATTCATGAAAAAAAGTAAATTGCTTTGCCACATTTTTTGCAGTATAACTTCAGTGCCTTGTTGCAAACAGGATACATGTTTTGGAGTATTTTCTATTCTATACAGTCTTCTTTTTCACTCTGTCAATTAGGTATGTTGTTGATCTATCCTCAGTTTTCTCCTATCACAACAACAACAATAAACCCTGTAACTGTTTTAAAGTCACCACTGGCCTCATGGTGTAATCCCTGAGCGGTTTCCTTCGTACCGACAACTGAGTTAGGAAGGACACCTGTATCTTTGTAGTGACTGGTTGTATTGATACACCATCCAAAGTGTAATTAATAACTTCACCATGCTCAAAGGGATATTCAATGTCTGTTTTTATTTTTTATTTTACCCATCTACCAATAGGTGCCCTTCTTCGCGAGGCATTGGAAAACCTCCCTAGTCTTTGTGGTTAAATCTGTGTTTGAAATTCACTGCTCGACTGAGGGACCTTACAGATAATTGTATGTGTGGGGTACAGAGATGAGGTAGACACTATTATTGCAACTTAATATATGACTTGTTAAGCATTTTTACTCCTGAATTTATTTAGGCATGCCATAACAAAGGGGTTGAATACTTATTGACTCAAGACATTTCAGCTTTTCATTTTTAATTAATTTGTAAACATTTCCAAAAATATATAATTCCACTTTGACATTATATTGTTTGTAGGCCAGTGACAAAAAATCTCTATGTAATAAATTGGCGTTTGGGCTTGGCCAGGCTCTCCTGGCTACAGTGCAGGGATATCTCAGAGGCAGTGGTGAGAGGAGGGGGTGGAGGGGGCAGTGGGGGAGGTGGAGAGGTATGGTGGGATCGGCGCTGTTGGAGTACAGTGGCTTACGAAAGTATTCACCCCCCTTGGCATTTTTCCTATTTTGTTGCCTTACAACGTGGAATTAAAATGGATTTTTTCCCATTCTTCAAGGCAAATCTACTCCAGCTCCTTCAAGTTGGATGGGTTCCGCTGGTGTACAGCAATCTTTAAGTCATACCACAGATTCTCAATTGGGTTGAGGTCTGGGCTTTGACTAGGCCATTCCAAGACATTTAAATGTTTCCCCTTAAACCACACGAGTGTTGCTTTAGCAGTATGCTTAGGGTCATTGTCCTGCTGGAAGGTGCACCTCCGTCCCAGTCTCAAATCTCTGGAAGACTGAAACAGGTTTCCCTCAAGAATTTCCCTGTATTTAGCGCCATCCATCATTCCTTCAATTCTGACCAGTTTCCCAGTCCCTGCCGATGAAAAACATCCCCACAGCATGATGCTGCCACCACCATGCTTCACTGTGGGGTTGGTGTTCTCGGGGTGACGAGAGGTGTTAGGTTTGCGCCAGACATAGCGTTTTCCTTGATGGCCAAAAAGTCTCATCTGACCAGAGTACCTTCTTCCATATGTTTGGGGAGTCTCCCAAATGGCTTTTGGCGAGCACCAAACGTGTTTGCTTATTCTTTTCTTTAAGCAATGGCTTTTTTTCTGGCCACTCTTCTGTAAAGCCCAGCTCTGTGGAGTGTACGGCTTAAAGTGGTCCTATGGACAGATACTCCAATCTCCGCTGTGGAGTTTGCAGCTCCTTCAGGGTTATCTTTGGTCTCTTTGTTGCCTCTCTGATTAATGCCCTCCTTGCCTGGTCCATGAGTTTTGGTGGGCGGCCCTCTCTTGGCAAGTTTGTTGTGGTGCCATATTCTTTCCATTTTTTTATAATGGATTTAATGGTGCTCCATGGGATGTTCAAAGTTTCTGATATTTCTTTATAACCCAACCCTGATCTGTACTTCTCCACAACTTTGTCCCTGACGTGTTTGGAGAGCTCCTTGGTCTTCATGGTGCCACTTGCTTGGTGGTGCCCCTTACTTAGTGGTGTTGCAGACTCTGGGGCCTTTCAGAACAGGTGTATATATACTGAGATCATGTGACAGATCATGTGACCCTTAGATTGCACACAGGTGGACTTTATTTAACTAATTAAGTGACTTCTGAAGGTAATTGATTGCACCAGATTTTATTTAGGGGCTTCATAGCAAAGGGGGTGAATACATATGCACGCACCACTTTTCCATTATTTATTTTTTAGAATTTTTTGTTGTGTATGTCCATTGCATGAAATCCAAATAAAAATCCATTTAAATTACAGGTTGTAATGCAACAAAATAGGAAAAACGGCAAGGAGGATGAATACTTTTGCAAGGCACTGTAGTTGCTGTCTCTGTCCCTGCTGTCCTTTTCGAGGCTGCTCCGTTTCTACTGCTACTGCTGAGGTTGTGTGAGTGGTGGTTATGGTGTCTGCTGTGGTTGTGTGAGTGGTGGTTATGGTGTCTGCTGTGGTTGTGTGAGTGGTGGTTATGGTGTCTGCTGTGGTTGTGTGAGTGGTAGGTACGGTGTCTGCTGTGGTCTCTGGAGCCAGGCTGTCCCGTCTGTAGCCCCTCTCTCTCGCTCTGAGTGGTGTGAATACTTGGAGGAAGAGTTGGCCTCCTGGTAAGATGACCTTCTAGAGACGATCCCATCGGCACCATACCGCCCTCCTATGTTCCTATCCCGCTGTCTGTCCCTGTCCTTCTCTCTGTCTGCCAGAGATGGCTGCTCATACTGGGGTGCAGGGGGTGGGGGAGGGGGGCAGTAGGGGGCTAACCTGGGGCGACCCCTGTGATAGGGGTCTTGAGGAGGTGCATATGGTTCCTCTGGGTAACGAATGAACACTAAATTCTCTGGCAACAGCTCTGGTGGACATTCCTGCAGTCAGCATGCCAATTGCATGCGCCCTCAAAACTTGAGCCATCTGTGGAATTGTGTTGTGTGACACAACTTTTTCTGTCCCCAGCACAAAGTGCACCTGTGTAATGATCATGCTGTTTAATCAGCTTCTTGATATGCCACACCTGTCAGGTGGATGGATTATCTTGGCAAAGAAGAAATGTACACTAACCGGAATGTAAAGAAATTTGTGCACAACATTTGAGAGAAACATGATTTTTGTGCGTATGGAAAGAAATTCTCGGATCTTTCATTTCAGCTCGTGAAACATGGGACCAACACTTTACATGTTGCATTTTTATTTTTGTTCAGTATATATGAAAATGGCATTTGGAATGGTTGCGATGAGCCCTTGGTGAGCATACAGAGTCTGGGCCGTGTAGGAGCCACTCACTATCAGGTCATAATACTTCTGCCTCTGCCGGTCTGCAGATACACACACAGAAACATGTCCATAAGACAAGGTCGTCATATCTTTCAAAAATACTTACCAGTACAAAGATATTGAGTATTATCGTTTTTCATGTCTCCCTAAAACACCTCTATGCTTCAATATGTTTTTCCCCACACTCACAAAATCAAACACTAACAGAAAATCAAACCACACAGACATGAAGCCTTGTCCTACCTAGATATCCAGCTGAGCGTGAACGATGTTGCCCATTACAGAGGTGTTGTGCAGTTGTTTGACCGTGTCGTTAGTTGGACATGAGTGATGGCATGCTTCAGAGCGTCTCTCAAAAAGTGAGGCAGGTGGAAGTGTGTGATGAGGGATGAATACAGGAGTTAGACATTTAGTCATTTAGCAGACACTCTTAGAGCAACCACATATCACAGTCATAGTAAGTAAATGTAGCTACAGTAAAGTAGCTATCAGCAAACTCAGTGCTAGTAAGAAAAGAAGAGGGTCAGAGTTAGTGCAAGAAGGCAAGGGTGTTAGTAGAGAGGGCAGGTGCTGTGGGATACATCAAGGTACTTGGTGTAGAGCAGGGTTGCCCAACCCTGTTCCTGGAGAGATACCCTCCTGTAGGTTTTCACTTCAACCCCAGGTGTTACTAACCTGATTCATCTAATCAATCCGCTAATTATAACAGGGTTGGGCAGTCCTGGTTTTCATGTTTTCAGAAGATGTGCAGGCACTCAGCTGTCCTGACATTACGGGAAAGCTGTGTGCCTGGACCAGATCCTACAAGGTCGAGGGTCCCGCAAATCTCCCACTAGGGAACCCCAAGTCCTGGAGACTGTGGAGAGATCACAAGAGTCAAAGGCTCATGTTACAATAAAGTACAACAACCACACATGCAGCTAACTCAGTTAACTAACACTTAATAGACACTTGTTAGCCAACTATAAAATTCACAATTCCAGAGGTAACAATGCAAAAACAGTCTAACGTTATTATCAGCTTATATTACCAGCATTGAGCCGCATAGACTCGAGAAAAATAGACTTGCAGTCTTTATCAATCAAAACGTCTGTAATCTACAACAGATAGCCTACTGTCAAGAAATGACATTAACAACGTGACATAGCTAGCTATAATTCCGAAACACAATCCAGTTGATAAATGTATAGAATGTCGTTGCATTCATGCATTGTTAATTCTAACCTAGCTAGCTAGCTACCTATGGCATACTATAAACTCGCTCCAACCTGAGCTGCTGTCAAAACAACGATAGCAACGTTACACACAAGCTAAGGTAGCTAGCTAGTGGTTTAGCTAACTAGCATACCACTAACATTATTTTCAACCCGCTAGTAATTATTTTTGGGATAGCTACGTTAACAGGATGTAACGTTGGTAAGGTATCTAGATACTGCAGCTCACATTAACTTGCTAGATATATATAAACTCTGTTAGCATGTGTGGCTAACATTAGCTGCTAGCTAGAATAGTTGGTTTAATTTAGCTAGCACGTTAGCTTGCTCAGTTAGCAAAAAACCTATAATGAACAGTCACCTGCAAAATAAAATTAAAGGAACTTGTTTATCTATTTTGTTGTGCTATTACATTTGGTGTTTCGTGTCCGATGTGCTCAGGCTGTTGCTACATGTCATTTGCGACGTGCATCATGAGCAAAGTCACTGTAGGCAATGTCACTTCCCCTGTAAGAACCATGAGCACGGACTGACTTGGTGTTGCTGTACAGCAGCCGAAGCCTGCCAGCAGCCTACCTACCAAAGATTTTACCGTGTCCATTACAAAGTAGAAAAACAAATGTCTCTTATGGAAGATGCCAAAAAAGTTGGAGACAACAATAGATGGCAAAGTCAAAAATACTGGTTTCCATCTGTGGCAAAGTTTTCACTATTATGCTTATGACAAATCCAGAACCAGTAGCCAGCAGACTAAACTTTTGAATACGATATAGTAAAAAAAAACTGCAACAACAGATAACATTAGCTAGCTAGATAAGGTTAGCAAGATAGCTAGCTAATGTTAGCATGCTAGGTAGCTACACTGACAGCTGTCAATTTGTTGATGTTTCTCCGGTCCACGTGGAAATCACCAGGACATTCTTTCCCACCCCCAATTCGTGAATATATATAAGTAGCCTTCGTCATTCTTCGGAGGTGGAACCTAAAACAAGCATTTCCGCTCTAGGGCAGGAATTGAATCGAAATATGGGTGACATTGCCCTCTGGTGGGGGCCTTAAATAAAGGGTGACTGCACTTCCTGATTTGGCCTCGTTTTCGATTTGGTTCATTAAGAAATGCTAGCGGCCATGATTGAATTCAAACGTGAGTTGGTTTTGGGGTGTTTTTGATGTGGGTGTCTCGTGTGTGTGTTCGCAAGTGGGAAGAGTTAGCCAACTTATTTAGCCAATTAGCTTCAACTGCCTGGTGTGCGACCATGGCAAAGTTGATTTGGCTTTGGAAAGCCTATCTCTGGGGCTATTTAGGGACTGTCAATAAATTACACAATGTAAATGAGACAATATTTTCATGTTGCACACCTTTTAGTTTTCTCATTTAATGCTTTCAATATTTGTTTATGAATTTCTATAACTTATAGTTGGTTTGAGGTTTTTAAGTCATTGAAATTTGAAGCTATTGGAATTTTTACATATTGTCCCATGTACATTGTAGGGATGGGCATTTGAAATTATTTTAATATTCAAATATATCATGTCATGTTTTTGGATAGTCTAAACAACCCCCCCCCCCCCCCCCCCCCCCCCCAAAACAAAACTTATATTTATTCTCGGCCAGTCAGAATGATACAAATGCACATGGCAGAGGTAAACAGTGGACATGCTGCTTTTCTCTGGTAGTTTGGCTAACAGCGATGTGTGAAAGAGAAGTCAGATTTTCGCAATGATAGAACTGATTCTGTTGCAAAAAGGTTTTCTGGTGAGTGTTTTGCATTGATATGTGTCAGGTATTGTTGAAACTGTTTGGTGAGCACCTGTAATTGCTATTTGAGGTGAGGGAAACAGCATACCGACGTCATGGCAGCCTGGAGGGCTAAATGTGCAGCACTGTTCGAAAAAACTACATTCAAAAGTTTGTTGTTTTATAAAAATAAGGATTTCAAATGTCATGGTATATCCTTGTAGGTAAAAATGTCAGAAGGACAATTTAATAGAATTTAGACCCCCCAAAAAGTTGTTAAAATAGGCCTACACGTTTTTTCTAAAACAATTAACACTCACTCAAGTAATCGGATACTAACGTCCATTCGGATATTCGATTTACCATGCCCATCCCTAGTACATTGTGCAATCTACCGATGGTCCCTAACTAGCCCCATAGGGATATCCAAAGTCAACCAAAATGTACCACAGGAATTACAATCAGCTGCACTCCAAATTGATTATTACTTGTGTGCTGCCAGCTGTGGGCATGTGGGCAGGATTGAAACAAACCTAACCTTCATTTACGTTGTGATGCAGTCACGACCACAAGTCTCACAAAACTCTGTTTTGGACAAGACTGATTTTATGACAAAAATTATCTTGTTTTCACTTTGTAGTAAATTTTGCAGTGGTGGAAAAAGCACCCAATTGTCATACTTGAGTAAAAGTAAAGATACCTTAATAGAAATGACTCAAGTAAAAGTGAAAGTCACCAAGTAAAATACTACTTGAGTAAAAGTCTAAAAGTATTTGGTTTTAAATATCAAAAGTAAATGTAATTGTTCAAATATACTTAAGTATCAAAAGTAAAAGTATAAATAATTTCAAACCAGATGGCACCATTTTCTTTTTTAGTATTTTTTTTTACGGATAGCCAGGGACACTCTCCAACACTCAGACATCATTTACAAATGAAGCATTTGTGTTTAGTGAGTCCGCCAGATCAGAGGCAGTAGGAATGACCAGGGATGTTCTCTTGATAAGTGCGTGAATTGGACCATTTTCCTGTCCTGCTAAGCATTCAAAATGTAATGAGTACTTTTGGGCCTTTATGGAGTAAAAAGTACATTATTTTCTTCAGAAATGTAGTGAAGTAAAAGTAAAAGGAGTCTAAAATATAAATAGTAAAGTACAGATACCCCCAGAAAACGACTTAAGTAGGACTTTAAAGTAGTTTTACTTAAGTACTTTACACCACTGCAATTTTGACAGTAGAATAAATGTTTCTCATATCGATGCCACATAGGCTGTTTTCTAAATGACGTCATTTCAACCAAAAAATTTAATGTGATGATGTTCAATCAATGTGGAAAACTGATTGGATTTGTAAAAAGTCATCAACGTATGGGAATTTAGTCATTTTTTCACCCAACGTTTAACCTAAATCCAATGACAGGGTGACAGTTTTGGTTGATTTCACATTGAATTCACGTTTGTTGGCAAGCAAATGTAAATCAAAACTAGATGTTGAACTGTCTGTGCCCAGTGGAGGTGTTGTTGCTAGTGTCTGAAAATCGGCCCATGCACACACAATATAATGGAACCCAACCGTTAGGCCTACACATTAAACATCACAGTTTATTTGTTGTTGTGCTCATGTATTGCTGTTCCTTTGCCTTTAATTTCAGGTGTTCCTTCACAGACTTAAAATTGCGATTTTAGTAAATATATTGATGTTGAATTATGTGGACACAAAACTACTCTATTGTGAGAACGCTAATTCCCGCTAACCCTGATTTGTATCTGTTGTTTCCTCATCGCCCTGCTTTGCTGCCATCTCATTGGACGCCCAGACTGTCCGTCATGGCTTCCCCTATCAGCCGTCGTCCATGGCCCATGACCCAGTCCAGAAGATCCTGGCCATTGGGACCCAGAGCGGGGCACTCAGACTGTATCCTTTCTGCTCTGTGTGGTGCTGTGTTCAACTCCATTGATCTGTTTGTGTGTACACTGGCCCCTGTGGCCCTGGGGGGAAGCCCTGTATGCAGCTGCTCTCAGCCCAGACCAGCAGCAGGTAGGTGGATGAATAGATGGATAGAAAGACAATCAGAATGCCCTTGGAAGAGCAGGCTGAGCTCATTGGTGTCTATGTATACTCATTCTATCAATGTGCAATAACACATATTACAGTATAATGGCATGTTACATTGTAAAAAAAAAAGAAGCCTATCCTTTGCTCTCAATCCTTGATATAGAGCTAGCAGCCAGTTTACAGGGACAACAGCTTGCTGTGCTTCACAACACAGAGCAGTGAAATGGCACCATAGGGAGCCATAGCTACAGAGAGCACCTGCCTGATATCTCGCCTCTTGCCTGCTTGCCTGCCTGCCTGCTTGCCTGCATCAGGCCCCTTTACTGTTCCAGCATGTGTTCTCTCCTGAAAAGTAGCTCATTAAGGTGTGATTAAGGGGAGGGGGGGGGGGGGGGGGGGGGGGGGCAACATCCCTCTGTCTCTCTGTCTGTCTCTCCCTGCTGTCTGCCTTTCTGTCTCTCCCTGCTGTCTGTCTTTCTGTCTCTCCCTTTTGTCTGTCTTTCTGTCGCTCCCTGTTGTCTGTCTGTCTCTCTCCCTGTTGTCTGTCTGTCTCTCTCCCTTTTGTCTGTCTTTCTGTCTCTCCCTGCTGTCTGTCTTTCTGTCTCTCCCTGCCATGTATCCATCTCTCCCTGTTGTCTGTCTTTCTGTCTCTCCCTGTTGTCTGTCTTTCTGTCTCTCCCTGTTGTCTGTCTTTCTGTCTCTCCCTGTTGTCTGTCTTTCTGTCTCTCCCTGTTGTCTGTCTGTCTCTCTCCCTGCTGTCTTTCTGTCTCTCCCTGTTGTCTGTCTGTCTCTCTCCCTGTTGTCTGTCTGTCTCTCTCCCTGTTGTCTGTCTTTCTGTCTCTCCCCTTTGTCTATCTTTCTGTCTCTCCCTGTTGTCTGTCTTTCTGTCTCTCCCTGCTGTCTGTCTTTCTGTCTCTCCCTGTTGTCTGTCTGTCTCTCTCCCTGTTGTCTGTCTTTCTGTCTCTCCCTGCTGTCTGTCTTTCTGTCTCTCCCTGCCATGTATCCGTCTCTCCCTGTTGTCTGTCTTTCTGTCTCTCCCTGTTGTCTGTCTTTCTGTCTCTACCTGCTTTCTTCTACACATGGGCTTACTTACTGTCTACTTACATCTGAATGGAAAGGTGAGAATAGAAATTGTCTCAGTACTATTGGTGCAAGATGACAGTGCCCTAAGATACTGATCTAAGGTCAGTTTAGCATACTATTTGCATTGATATTAGATTGGTGTGAATCAAGATGGAACCACAGAGTTGTTGATATGCTGGCAATGCTGGTCAGTTTACGCTGATGCAACATGTGCTTTTTTTGACCACTTGAGCTGAAGTTAAACCATCAGTGAATGGTTTGGCAATTCTTCCTCCTCACTGATGTTGGTAGCTTTGAATTTGAGAGAAGAGAGAAGCATCTTAACATCAGTCATCTCTTCGAGTGATGTCGATCAGATAGAAATAGGTTTTTATCTCTGGGAGAGGGAGGTGAATGGGGAGTCATGTAACAGCCCGCGCTGTTCCCTTCTCAGATCAGTGCTCTAGAGGACGACTTGGCCTGCTTCCCCAATCTGATGACGATGATGCCTGATACAGCCTGATGCTGTTATTGGTCCTTATTTTTATTTTTCTGTCCTTTGATGAAGAGGATTTCTAGGAAGGTCTAGTTGTTGTTGTGTTAGAGCTGTAGTTGTGTAGCCCTGTATTTGCAGTATGTTTATAACTTTATGCTGTAGCACTAGTTTTGTCTTTGTGGCTCTGACCCTTGTAGTATTAGCCTTATGGGACTCTTTGTTTGAGCTTATGCCTGTTCTGTAGCAATCGTTACAGCTCTAGTTCTATGTCTGTCATGTGGCTGTATACTAAAGCATTATATCCTTGTAGTTCTATGTCTGTCATGTGGCTGTATACTAAAGCATTATATCCTTGTAGTTCTATGTCTGTCATGTGGCTGTATACTAAAGCATTATATCCTTGTAGTTCTATGTCTGTCATGTGGCTGTATACTAAAGCATTATATCCTTGTAGTTCTATGTCTGTCATGTGGCTGTATACTAAAGCATTATATCCTTGTAGTTCTATGTCTGTCATGTGGCTGTATACTAAAGCATTATATCCTTGTAGTTCTATGTCTGTCATGTGGCTGTATACTTAAGCATTATATCCTTGTAGTTCTATGTCTGTCATGTAGCTCTATGTCTTTCCTTCAGCTCTATGTCTGTCCTGTAGCAGCTATATGTCTCTCCTGTGGTTCTATGTCTGTCCTCTAGCTCTATGTCTGTCCTGTAACTCTGTCTGTCCTGTAGCTCTATGTCTGTGGTGTGGCTCTATGCTGTGATTACCTGCTAGCTTTTATCAGTGTGTCTGTGTCTGTCCTTGTAGTTCTATGTCTGTCATGTAGCTCTATGTCTTTCCGGCAGCTCTGTGTCTGTCCTGTAGCAGCTCTATGTCTGTCCTGTAACTCTATGTCTGTCCTGTAGCTCTGTGTCTGTCCTATAGCTCTGTGTCTGTCCTGTAGCTCTATGTCTGTCCTGTAGCTCTATGTCTGTCCTGTAACTCTGTCTGTCCTGTAACTCTATGTATGTGGTGTGGCTCTGTGCTGTGATTACCTGCTAGTTTTTATCAGTGTGTCTGTGGCGAGGCTGTTTGCGGCGCTCTCCTCTCCTTTCCCCCCGTGGAGGATTACAGGATGTGGCAGATCAAGGGCCTGAGCCTGGCAGTGGGCAGAGCTGAGCGGGCTGGAGAATTACAGCAGGTCTGTCAGCCTAAGCGAATGCCCTGTGATCCTAAAAACTGTCCCATTTTTGATGCTGGGCAGGGTTAGGAGGATGTGTTTACTGTCCCTTTGGTGCTGTCTGAATGAGAGAGAGAGGCTGGGGAAGAGAGGGGGAGGGAGAGAGAGAGACACGCACATGCACGTACACACACACACACACACACACACACATTTGTTGTACTATCCTTGTGGGGACCAAACAATTGATTCCCATTCAAAATCCTACTAAATTTGAGAAACATAATTCCACTTTGACATTATGGGGTATTGTGTGTAAGTCAGTGTTCAAAAAATCTCAATTTAAACGATTTTAAATTCAGGATGTAACACAACAAAATGTGGAAAAAGTCAAGGGGTGTGAATACATTCTGAAGCGACTGTACATGCACACAAATATATTAAATATACACACACACACACACACACACACTGTATATATCAACACAGCAGGTACTAGGATCATACGTCTGTACACACAGGGTGGTCTGGTCACACACGGTGAGTCACCACTCACTCACGCACACACACACACGCACACACACACACACACACACAAACATACACACGCACACTCCCAGGCCCAGATTCATGCCAGGTCATGTGTTGGTGAAGCAAACAGGCACATGTGAACAGAGGAAACAGAGGGGGTGTAGCAGGAGGGAACATAATCAGGTTGGCAAAACAGCAGAGAAGAGAAGAGAGGGAGAGAGAGAGAGAGAGAGAGAGAGAGAGAGAGAGAGAGAGAGAGAGAGAGAGAGAGAGAGAGAGAGAGAGAGAGAGAGAGAGAGAGAGAGAGAGAGAGAGAGAGAGAGAGAGAGGCTCTTGCACCAGAATATAACTTATATTGATCTGTGTGTTGTATTTTGCTGAGGTAGATATACGGCAGGTAGCCTAGTGGTTAAGAGCATTGGGCCAGTAAACAAAATTGCTCCTGTAAGTCCCTCTCGATAAGAGCGTCTGCAAAATGACAAAAATAATTAAATATACTCCACAAACACACCATCTCAATTGTTTTTGGACCAATCTGCATCATAGGCATATATATCTCTGCAGCAACATATTGTCTCACAATATGTAGGGCGAAATTGAAAGATGTCTGGCTGCACCAGCAGTTTAGCTACAGTATATTAAATGATCTGCTCATTGAAGTGTGAGAGGATAGGGAGAGAGAAGAGACTGTGTTACTAATACAGACTGCAGAATGGCCGTATTACAGATGGGATGAGAGGTATAGCCCTACCTTTGGAACCACTCTGAGGGTACTTCCCTCCTTCACGGAACCACTGATCTAACATGACCAGATCAGTGAAATGTTTGCAGTGGTTTCGAGGCTTTCATCTATCCATCTGGCATACAGCACTAGATCAGTGATGGCTTCCAGAAAGGGAAGAAACAAGGATGGAGGGGTTTCCATAGTATTGAACCAGGCCCGTGGTCTCTGGGTGTGTGTTTTGGGTGGCCTGTGGGTGGGCAGTGCCCAGGGTTGTCGCTCCGCACACCAACAGATTATCTCATCTGCACACATACGCACACGTGCACACACACACACACACACACACACACACACACACAGGATGGGCATATGGCTAAAACGCAACGTTCAGGTGGACACCCCTTCAAATTAGTGGATTCAGCTATTTCAGTCACACCTGTTGCTGACATGTGTATAAAATCGAGCACACAGCCATGCAATCTCCATAGACAAATATTAGCAGTAGAATGGCCCGTACTGAAGCACTCAGTGACTTTCAACGTGGCACCGTCATAGGATGCCACCTTTCCAACATGACAATTCGTCCATTTTCTGCCCTGCTAGAGCTGCCCCGGTCAACTGTAAGTGCTGTTATTGTAAAGTGGAAGCAACGTCAGCACAAGAACTGTTCGTCGGGAGCTTCATGAAAGGGTTTCCATGGCCGAGCAGCCGCATACAAGCCGAAGATCACCATGCGCAATGCCAAGCGTCGGCTGGAGTGGTGTAAAGCTCGCCACCATTGGACTCTGGAGCAGTGGAAACACGTTCTCTGGAGTGATTAATCACGCTTTGAATCTGGGTTTGGCGGATGCCAGGAGAACGCTACCTGCCCAAATGCATTGTGCCAACAGTAAAGTTTGGTGGAGGAGGAATAATGGTCTGGGGCTGTTTTTCATGGTTCAGGCTCCTTAGTTCCAGTGAAAGGAAATCTTAACGCTACAGCATACAATTACATTCTAGACAATTCTGTGCTTCCAACTTTGTGGCAACAGTTTGGGGAAGGCCCATTCATGTTTCAGCATGACAATGCCTCTGTGCACAAAGCGAGGTCCATACAGAAATTGTTTGTTAACATCGGTGTGGAAGAACTTGACTGGCCTGCACAGAGCCCTGACCTCAACCCCATCGAACACTTTTCGGATTAATTGGAACGCCGACTGCGAGCCAGGCCTAATCGCCCAACATCAGTGCCCGACCTCACTAATGCTATTGTGGCTGAATGGAAGCAAATCCCCGCAACAATGTTCCAACATCTAGTGGAAAGCCTTCCCAGAAGAGTGGAGGCTATTACAGCAGCAAGGGGGGACCAACTCCATATTAATGCTCATGATTTTGGAATGAGATGTCCGACAAGCAGGTGTCCACATACTTTTTGTAATGTAGTGTAGCACCTGTATGCATCGTTTTACTTGTAGTAGTATTTTGCTGTAGCATGCCACATTAGTTAGCCATGATTAGCTAATCATGCTGCTACTCTGTTTATTATTTATGCATAGTCACTTTAACTCTACCCACATGTACATGTTACCTCAATTACCTCGACTAACCGGTGCCCCCGCACATTGACTCTGTACCGGTACCCCCTGTATATAGCCTCCCTACTGTTATTTTATTTTACTGCTGCTCTTAAATAAATTGCTATTTTTTATTTTTTACTTATCTATTTTTTACTTAACACATTTTTTATTTTCTTAGAAACTGCATTGTTGGTTAAGGGCTTGTAAGTAAGCATTTCACTATAATGTCTACACCTGTTGTATTCGGCGCATGTGGCAAATAAAATTTGATTTGATGTTGTCTGTTGATTGTTTAATGCATAGTATTAGTATTACAATGTGAGTAGTATCTCTATGTGGCTTTCCCATCCGATGCTGTAGAGGTCTGACTCTGGATGTAAAGATATGTCTCTAGAGATATGTCTGTAGAGTCCTGGCTATAGACATCTGACTATAGAGATCTGACTGTAAAGAGCTGACTGAAGAGAGCTGGCTATAGAGATCTGGCTATAGAGATCTGACTGTAGAGATCTGACAGTAGAGATCTGACTGTAGCGATCTGGCTATAGAGGGATAGCTTCACACAGAGAGAGTAGAGTAGCTAACATTTACATTTACATTTTAGTCATTTAGCAGACGCTCTTTATCCAGAGCGACTTACAGGAGCAATTAGGGTTAAGTGCCTTGCTTAAGGGCACATCGACAGATTTTTCACCTAGTCGGCTCGGGGATTAGAACCAGCGACCTTTCGGTTACTGGCACAACGCTCTTACCCACTAAGCTACCTGCCGCCCTAACAGTGATGCTGGATGGAGAGAGAGACTTACACAGCGTAGGGCAGCCAGCATCACAGCACAGACATGCTGCATTTTCCAGGTCAGAAACCATTGTGTATGTACTATATTTATTGATTTATCTATTTGTTGATTTATTCAATTTTTTATATTATATTTCATCCCTCCCTTCCCTGACCAGGCATCTCTCGTCGGGACCTAACCATTTTAGATGGCACTCCACAGTACAGACCAGGCCTGACGTTGTGTGTGTGTGTCAGTACTTACATAATGCGCTGGAGCGCAGGGAAGGCAAGGCTGAATGAGACAGCAACAGCGTCATCAAAGGAGCTGGCTGCTGTGTGTTTGATGTGTGTGTGTGTGTGTGTGTGTGTGTGTGTGTGTGTGTGTGTGTGTGTGTGTGTGTGTGTGTGCAGATGTTTGTGTGTCTCTGTGTCTGCCTGGCTCCTGTATGCACATACAGTACAGGCATGTATGAGTGAAATTAGCATGTGTGTCTGTCTATTACAATCTCACTATGTGGATGTATATTCATGTATGTCAACAGTGTGTGGACAGTATATCAGTTGTTTACGACATTCTGTGATGTGTGGATAGGGCTGTTGCGGTGACCGTATTGCCGCCATACCGGCAGTCATGAGTCATGACCGCAGTAAAATTCCACTTGACCGTTGAGTCACGGTAAATCTCCTCTTATGCACTCTGGAACAGGCCTCGAATTTCCCGCCGGCATTGACGGCCATTGCCGTAATGCCTCCCAACGTGGCTGTTGTGCCCTTGGGATGAATATAATAATAAATCGTCCTGCTCCGAAGCACCTCTCACTCACATGGCTCTCTCAGATATCTCAATTCTTATTAGCCAATGCACGTCACGTGATCGGGTCCTTCTCACATGTATCGCCGCTCCGAAGTAGGCTACTAGTGAAGACAGACACATCGGGGATGCAACAGCATGTCCTTCTTATCGAATTCCGAGGCGCATATTAAAAATGTTTGAAGAACTGTCCACATTTACTTTTCGTCAGCCAACAAGACGAGTAACGAAGAGTAAAATCACTAGCCTATGTCAATCTACTATCCCCCATAGTACAAAAGTTGACCTATTCTATTGGTCAGCTTGTCATTCTGTTCGAGAAATAAATATTCCAAACAGACTCTGGGACCGTTGTGGGACGCGATAGATCCCAAATTAATACATCCAAAAACAATGAGGCTGATGCAATAGATCAGAACGTTTAGCTTAAAATGTTGATAAACTATTAGGCTATTTCTTCACATTATAAGCGCAGCAATGCACACACGGCAGTAGGCTATAAGCGCGAATGTTCAAAAATGCAATTAGCAGGAAAACACAGTTATCCAAAGCGCACCGCAAATGCCAGCAGTTTCATATGACAGAGAAAGAGGGAAGATCTAAAGATGCAATAACTAGCATGGTTTGTTAATATGACTAGGATTGTGTCTTTGGCTGCTGAACAACGAAAGAATGTTGAGAACATGAAAG